CTGAAGAACGGCGTGTTTAAAGGCAGAGGGAACTTCAGCCAATGTCAAGCTACTATTTAAGATGTCTAGCACATTATGGCTAATGAAAGGAAAAACCTCTTTCAGGAGACGAGGTGGGATAACATCTTCTGGGGAGCCAGACGGTTTCATGGCAGCAACAGTTTTTTCTAGATAGGGCAGAGAGATGGGCTGAAAGCTTTGAAGTTGCACATGAGGGGGAATGACTGAATCAGAAACATGGTTGGTTTGGTGAATCTGAGCTCTGATTACACTAATCTTATTTAAGAAAAACTGCAGGATTTGGTTACACAAGTCAGCAGACGCAGAGGAAAATAGTTTTGTAACTGGTGAAAGCACTGCATTCATAGTTTTATATAACATACCTTGATTATTAGAATTAGCCGTTACGATGCTTGCAAAAAATCGATTTCTTGCGCCTCTGACTGCTCTTTGGTACTGAGACCACGCCTCTCTCATGGATTCAAAGGATACAGTAAGCCTGTCTTTTATCCATTTACGTTCCAGTCTTCTGGCATGTTGTCTCATGGAACGAGTTTGCTCGTTCAGCCATGGGTCAGGTCGGGATGTATTTCGCCTTGATTTTAATGGAGCGACAATATCCAAAGCAGCCAGACAGGATGAATCAAGCGCATGAAGTAATCCCTCAACAACAGTAAATTCATCAGTAGATTGAAATGGAGCTGAATTCAAAGCAAGAATAGCAGCAAAATGTGCAGCAGTATTGGGTCTGATTGTTCGAGAGAAGCTGGGACGGAAACACTCAACACGAGAGGCAGAGTCTAAGTTCATATTAAACACAACTGGTGAGTGATCAGAAAAAGTTGCAGGTAGAATGTCAAGATCACTAATTTGCAGCCCATGACAAAAAATCAGGTCTAGTGTGTGTGTATGACCATGAGTGGGTCCATTAACACGTTGGGACATGCTAAATGAGTCAATAAGATCTAAGAAATCCTTTACCAAAGGTTTGTCAGGACAGCAGACATGAATATTAAAATCACCCAGCAAGAGTATTTTTCCATATCTGCAGGAGACGTCTGCCAGGAAGTTTGCAAATTCATTAAGAAAATCCTTGTTATAGGGTGGTGGACGGTAAATGAGTGCACATAACAATGGAGGGGAACGTCCCAATTCAAACAAACTTAATTCAAAAGACAATTGAGTTGATTGATGGGTAATCGGTGTGCAGACAAGATCTGATTTGAATATAGTCAATAGACCTCCGCCCCGGCGCTGTGCTCTTGGAATGTTAATGAAGGAGCATCCAGGAGGTAACATTTCAACAATAGCAGCTGAATCTCCAGGGGTTAACCATGATTCAGTGGCGCATAGAACAGACAAGCTATTGTTCAGGAAGAATTCCTTCAGAATAAAAGTTTTATTTCCAACCGATCTGGCGTTGATCAGTGCAAAGCGAGTCGACTGCTTTCCCGATGGAAGAGAAAGTCCGGCTCCATCAAATCTTGCAATATACTGTAGGTTGGCCAGATTTATTCCCCGCTGATTGTGCCGTCCAAAACGAGAGCGGCGAAAACGAGAGCGGGAGGGCAACCCGGTGGAACCCATAGAAACAACAGGCACCAAGCACCCACCTCGAGCATCAGGGGAACTCCGAAAGCACCGCTCCTTTCCCCATACGCAGTAATCTGATGTGATTAGGCGATCTCCACATCTCCCCCGATTGTGTGCCGCAAGCTGGTCAGCAGCGGTCGGCCGCCGGATCATCCTCGGTTCCGAAGCACGCATACAGCGCTTGGCTCCGTGAGCACCCAGCTGGAGAATCATCCCCACATCCCACGCACTCACGCAGCTCTCAGCTCCGTGAGCTCCCAACTGGCCGGTCATCCACACCTCAGACACATCCATGTAACATTCAGCTCCATGTCCTCCCGGTAGCAGCGAGATCAGCTCGACTCGATTGAGATGCCGATGGATCCGGGACGTAGGACTGGTGTAATATGTTCAGAGCTCCTGGTAGATGTTAACAACCGAGCTGCAGAGCTCTGAACTGCCTGGAGGCGTGCTAGTGAAGCTTGCCTAAGCCCCGCATATAGCGAATTACAATAATCCAGCCTGCAGGTAACAAAGGCATGGATTACAGTTTCCAAATGACTATGGGACAGAAAAGGCTTAATTTTCGCTATGCGGCGTAGATGAGCTACAATGTAGCCACAGCTGCCCCGGGGTTCACTGACAGGGACACAGCTTCATAAATACCGCTCTCTGAGAGCCCCACCTAGGTGTGCCAAATCTTCCCACGAACCAGTGGAAACCAAACTGGCTTTTCCTCTCCAATCAATGCTCTCATAATTAACTGCTGCCCCACCTAGGGGTGCTACTTCTTCCGATAACTGAGCTGGGCTCCAACAGATGAAGCCATGTAAAAAACAACTTCAGTTGCTAGTTTTCCCTTTGTTTAAAAGTCATTTTCACTCACTGTTTACTATGCTATTGCCCTCCAAAATGGTTGACCCACATGCTCAGCATAAATGAGTACACCCCCTTTAAAAGGTACAAATCTAATCTCAATGGACAAAAGAACAATTTCAAGAATTTTCACAAGGTTTTTATTGAGCACTGGTTTAACTCCATAACATGAATTTAAGGTTAATAATATAACTTAGATCAGCCTTTCTCAAATGGGGGTACGCGTACCCCTGGGGGTACGTAAAGAAACTCCAGGGGGTACATCAGAGAAGCAGACTGTGTCTAAAAAGAGCTTGATCACAGCAGTTGCCTCCCTGCCACCAAGGATGAAAAAGATCCTCAGTGAAGCACAAGCCCAAGTGTCTCACTAAAAAGTCTGTAAAAACACTCCGATCAGTGCAGTAATGTTAAGATTTCAGTCTTCTTTTTGATTTTAAAAAATATATTTTGAGATTTACATTTGTTTTTAGCAATTATTTAAAATGACGTTGATGATTTCTTTTAGAGAACAGATATACTATGATCCCAAAAGAGAACACTTTATGTTGATATGCTTTTTATGAGCACAAATCTTTAATTATAATTAGCTTAATCATTTCTTTGGCCTGTATTTGATATATTTTTTTAAATATTTCTAGTTATATATATATATTTTCCAAATAGTTCAAGAGATACTACAAAAAATGTGCAGTGTTTTGCACATTTATGGATTTTTCAATGGGTAATCTTATGGTTTTAAATAGTTTTATGGTGACTGTTTTCAATTAATTAATTAGAATCACATTTTAGTGATGAAAAATATTTCCAATACATTTAGTTATGGAGTATTAACATTTAAAATGTTCAAAATAGTTTTTTTTCCCCCAAATGGTTGAATTTTGTACTTGTTTATCAGTTTCAAAGTTTAATAAATCAGTCACTGAAGGCACCTATTTAAGGTCTTGTTTTTTACAACCAAAAATGTTTTTGCGCTGAATGATTAGGGGTACTTGGCTGAAAAAAATATTTCACGGGGGGTACATCAGTGAAAAAAGGTTGAGTACCACTGACTTAGATCACTAAATCTTCAGTTTTACTAAAATTGGATGAAGCAAAAAATAAATACACTCCACAACAAAAACGACTACATCTAGATTTTTGTATGACCATCATGGTTTTCAAGGACAGCACCAAGTCTTCGAGGTGTGGAATGAACAAGTTGGTGACATGCTGCAGCAACTGTCTTTTTCCATTTTTCATGAAGAACCTCTTTTGGAGCCTGGATGCTGGATGGAGAGTGATGCTCAACTTGCAGCTTCAGAATCCTCACAGGTGTTGGATTGGGTTCAGATCAGGAGACATAGTTGGCCGTTCAATCACCTTCACCCTGTTCTTCTTCAGGGTTAGGGTAGCTTTAAATGTGTGTTTTGGATCATTGCCGTGTTGGAAAAGTGCATGACGACCAAGCACACGGAGTGATGGCATCATCTTCTCCTTCAGTCTAGAGGAGTACATTGTTGAGTTTATGATGCCATCAATGAAATGCAGCTCCCCAACACTAGAAGCACTCATGCAGCCCACATAAGGACACCGCCACCACCATGCTTCACTGTAGGCACCATGCGTTTCTCTTTGAAATCCTCACCTTTACGACTCCATACAGTTTTGAAACCCTTAGTTCCAAAAACGGTGATCTTTGTCTCATCACTCCAGAGTCTAGAGTCCCAGTAGTCTTCATCTCTTTCAGCGTGGGCCCTAGCTAATCCTAGGTGTGTTATTGTGCGTGGGCTTTAGGAGAGGCTTCCTTCGTGGACGATACCCATGCATGCCATTCCTCTGCAGTGTCCGCAGTATGGTGTCACGGGAAACGGTCACTCTAGTTGGGCTTTCTACTGCTTTAGCTAACTGAAGTGAACTTTCATGGTGATTTTCTTCAACACTTCTCATCAGAAGACGCTCCTGTTGAGATGTTAACTTCTGTGGACGGCCTGGACGTCTCTGTAAGATGGTTGCGCTTCCATCTTTCAGAAGTTTTTGGATCCCTTTTGCTGCAGTATTTTGAATTATGTCTAAAGCTTTGCTGATCTTCTTGTAGCCCTCACCTTTTTGTGTGATTTTGTGACATTTCTCTTCTATGTGGAGCCACTGCTGACAGCATGGACAAGGAAAAGCTTTCCTTTGTTAAGTAACACCCTTTTATAGTCACCTGTCTGCGGGACAACTACGAATCATTAGACTCACCTGTGGTTGAATGCCTGTTAATTAGAATTTTGTAGTCTTAAGTGTGACTTTTCTCTTAAGACTACAATTGGGGTGCACTCATTTTTGCAACATGGTTTTGAATGGATTTGTTAAGAAAATCACTTTTTTTGTGTTCGCAAATTAACAAATCCTGTTTGCAATCAATGGCCCGCCTTTGTGGGAGTATTTTGTAGTTCGGCATCTCTTAGAAAATGTTGATTCTGAAAGGAAACTAAAGGTTTTCTGACAAATGTAGTGGGGTGGACTCATTTATGCTTTAGTAAAGGGTCAATATAGCTACCAGGTTGACTTTCAGTTATTAAGAGTCTCACCGTGAAAAACCTCTCCCTTTCTTCTGGGTCCTGAAACAAAGTTTGAACAACCTCCACGAAGTTAGTTTTGGACTTCTCCAGCTCTTCAAAGTCCTACCGGAGTGAAAAACAAAGACAGGAGCAATGGTGGTAAAGAAAGAGCGAGTGCTTGAATGGGTGAATGAAAAAGATGCTGCAGGATGTTACAAAGGCTTAAAGCTGATATCTGAGACCGACCTCCTGATCACAGCCAGAGCTCATCTTCAGGTTTAAAATGACATCCAGATGGGGCTGGACGTGCAGCGGCGTGGCGGTGCTCTCACTACGACACAACTCCAGCACAAGCTGAAACGGACAGAAAGAGCTTCTTAACAAAGATTGCATAGTTTACTCAGTAAATCCTTTTGAAGTGATTGTTTAGGAGAATGAGATCCGGCCTCTTACCCTTGCTCTGAGTCTGAGCAGGAGCTGAACTCTTTCTCTGGCTGTGAGCAGCTCTGGAGCCAGCTCCGTCACCAGCACCACCAGCTCCTCCACTTTCCTATAATGAACCACATTACAACACTGGACCACCTGCCAGGCGAAGGCGGACATCAGGAGGCACAAAGACGGGATGGACAAACGGCAACCTGGAAACGCAAGAACAACTTGTGGTTTATTTCCAGGCCTTTCCTTTTGCACCCCCCCCCCTATATCTGGTTCTACCTGCAGGAAATGTTTCTTCTCTTCTCTCAGCGTGTTCCCCTTAAGCCCACACTGCTGTGGCATCTTATTAAAGCAGACCAGGGCTAGTTTGTTGCTGCTCTTGAATGTTTGGTTGCTCCCAGAGATCAGATAGCCACTTGGCTTCATGTGTCAAAACTTTAAAAATAAAAAAAAGTAGTTAAACTATTTGGAAATCTAATTTTTGTTAGTTTCGTGTTTAATTTGACTGACTAATTTGACTCCACATCAGTAGCACCAGGATGAGAAGACTGCTGAGGAAGAAGGTGATGCTTCTGTACATTTTGAAGCAGCAGGCTGCAAACTGAGGGCTTCAAACCCATGTTCTCACGTTTCTTAATTCTCCTGGAGTTCTGCTTCTGTTTTTTGATCTTGCATTCTTGTGCTAATTTGTTAAAGAGCAAGTCACCCCCTACAAGAGTCTTACTCCACCCCCTGTTTGATAAATGCAACAAATAACGTTGCCTGGCACACCGAGAGGGCGGAGCCGCTAACAAATACACACATAGGGCCGTTTCTCAATACTCAAGGACGCTAGTACGTTCTTGTGTACTAGACAAGTATGTTCTTGGCAAGGACACCAGAAATCCTGTTCTACTGAGTATGGGAGGACAAGGACGGCATTTGAAACAGAAGTGTACTCCGATGTGTCCTGGCAACAAGTGATGCTTCTTTTTACGGTTAAAAAAAAACAATGCAACATAAAAATAAATGTCTAGTTTGTCCCTTAAATAACAAAATAACAACGAAAATGTATTATATGCATTATATTTGGCCCACTTTGATCGAAATGAATAAAATACTAGCATTTCCCACACTAATGAATAAAAAAGTTTATTTTTCATCAGAACAGAGCTACTCTGCTTTTATTTTGATAGTGGGTTAGCTGATTAGCATTTTTAGGGATTGTGAAGAGTAAAACTCAAACACACACAACAAAATTTAGAGGTTACACATAATTGTTTACATTTACAAACACCTTTATATTGTTTTATTTGTATTTCTAAAATTACAGTTATTAGCTTTTTCCTCTGACACGGAGTTTAACGGTTTGCAGCGCTATGCATTATAGAAAATTTTGCTGTCCCAAGTCCGCAGAAGGATGCATTGATGCACCACCGAGACAATAGTTGGAGCAAGAGCATATCCGGGAACTTTGAGTGAACTTTCCATTATGCATTCTTAGGATTGCAACAGTCCTTGGGCTATCGTTGATGACGTTTCACAAGGACGTGAGTACACAAGTTCGGACAAGTATGCATATTGAGAAATATTGAGAAATGCCCCCCCCCCCCACACACACAAACATTGTGGCATCATAATGTACCAGCTAACGTCATAGTGTACCTCTTAATCCTGATTCATGCTTCTGCGTCTGCGTCAGTGCGGAGACACGCAATGCCATTATCCGTCCTTGCGGGCCTGCTGGAGAGCCCTGCAAGGACGGACGGAGTCGAGCTCGCTTTTCTAAACATTCGTCCGTCGAGACGGAGAACGCAAGCTTGTGATTGGTCAGGGCACCGCTGTCGTCTACACCGCCGCCTTTACGCCCTCAAAAACATAAAGAGAGCCAAAAATAACTAGCGGCAGACATGGAGCAGCTTGAAGAATACCTCGCGAAAAAACTCAAAATAGGAACGTTTAATTCCCCCCGTGACTGGAGGAGTGAAAAGATACACAGCAAGCATTTTATTTGTGTACAGAAATGACAGGAAATGTGGGTTTGGAGGTGGCGAGCGCATGAAGAGGTGGAGGAGAATGAGAGACAAATTTGTCTGTGTTTTAAAAAATAGTCTCTTATATAGAAAAAAAAACAATATAAAAACACTATCTTGGACCGGATACAAGACAGGACACCACAGAACAGCGCTACACCCTCTGCTGTCCTGGCGGGGAATTGCTTTGCAACACTCCCCAGGAGACGGAGAAGTATGAGGGCAAAACGCTTCCGTCAATCCGTGAGTGTCTGTCCCTTGCGAAGCTGATGGAGAAGCATGAATCAGGCTTTAGCCAGTAGCGATGGGAGATTTAAATTAAATTGCAGTGCAGAGTTTTTACCTGAAGAGGGCGCACATGTTCACAGTTTTAGGCAGAATATTTAAATATAAAGAGCAAGTCACCCCCTACAAGAAAGTTACTCCACTCTGACTTCATGTGTGAAAAATGCAACAAATGCTGTTGCCTGCCAGACCAAGAGGGCAGAGCCCCTAACAGATATACACAAACAGCTAATGCGGGTACACTGCAACACAACTTGTCCTGCTACACGTCTTCAGTGGGATGACAATTTTTTATTGTTTTCCTAGAAAAACCAGCAAATAAAACGTTTACCTCTCATCCGGACGTTTACATCCTCTCACACCACAAACAAGATAGCCGAAAAATGTCCGTCATGCAGAACTGTGGCGATAACAAGTTGTCATCAGTGCTCCGGTCTTGGGTCTTTCATATGGATCCAAACCATTTATAATGCTGATGTTGTCCACATACCAGTCCCCATCGTCTTTATTTAACGTATCCCTGTATATTCCGTATCCTTTTGGGGTTTTAACATGTTGTTTAACACTGTTTTTCACCCAAATCGGCTTCTTCTTTGCGAAGTTCAGTTTGTTTTCACGATTTGTTTACACGCCTCCATGACCACGCACATCCCAGAATGCTGTGCGTAATCACGTGTGATCACAAGCCCTATAGGGATGGCAGATTGCAGTGCAGAGTTTTTACCTGAAGAGGGCGCAACAGTTGACAGTTTTTGGCAGAATATTTCAATTTTAACTAAGATGCACTGAGTGCCAAATTCACGTGTCCTAACATGAACCACATAAACACCACTAAAACATAAAACGTGTGCTTAGCATGAACAAAAACAGTTGTCATACTTCGGTTTACCTTGTTAGCTATAGCATTTAGCTGAAAACAAGTCAGTTGTAAGCATGTAAGTAAAAGTTTATTTATATAGCGCCTTTCACAGATATAAATCACAAAGCGCTGTACAACATGATAAAGATCAGGGCAAATACCTCTAACCAATAAAAACATCAGAAAATCAATAGCAGTGATAAACGTAGAAAATAAAATCATGAGTATAAACAAAGTGAAGGTGTGAACCCGAACAAAGCCATCTTTTTTAAACATTTAGGGAGGGAACGCCTGGATGAAAAGGTGAGTTTTTAGATGATTTTTAAAGACCTCTACAGTGTTAGAGAGACGGAGATTTGAAGGTAGACTGTTCCAAAGTCTGGGTGCAATAGTCTGAAAGGCCCTGTCCCCTTTGGTTTTCAGTCTGGTTCGAGGAACAGCCAGGAGATTTTCAGATGTGGATCTAAGGTTCAGAGAGGTGATGTGTGGGGATAAAAGCTCAGATAGGTAGCTTGGAGCCTGGTTGTTAAGAGCTCTATAGGTCAGGACTAAAACTTTAAACTGTATTCTAAATTCTACCGGGAGCCAGTGGAGGGACTGTAAAACTGGGGTGATGTGAGCTCGTCTGCTGGGTTTGGTTAGGAGTCTGGCTGCTGCATTTTGGATGGCTTGAAGGCGTGAGAGGGAGGTTTTGCTGAGACCAGTAAGCAAGTCTTGTTAAAACTGAATACATCTCAAGCTTGTAGGGTTGTATAGATCAAACATGACTCCACGTTCTTACCTTCAGGGGAAAAAAGCTCATCGGATGCGCTGCGCTCCTCCACCGCGGACAGTGCTGAGGTGGATGGGCCGGTGTTTTGCCGAAAAGGGCATGCCTGCATAACACCGGCGGAGTCCATTGTCCCCGGGTCTGCTGCGAATGCTGGGCGGTGACCAAGGATCTCGTCCAGCCGATCGTACCATTTGCTCGTTCTTCTGTCGGAATCACTTTTATTATTGTGGTCCTTACGTCGCCTGTAGTCCTGCTTCATCTTCTTTATTTTTTCACGGCATTGCTTCGCAGTGTGCTGGAAACCCAGAGATTCCAAATAATCAGCCATGTCCTGGAATATTTTTTCATTCCTTCGTGAGGATTCAAACCTCCTCTGCACCATAAAATGCTAAAAGCGCCTGGACCTCATGATCAGTCCACTTATCATAAATCTTCTTGGATTCCATGGCCCCTCTCTCTAACAACTCGTGAGTTTTGGTGTTTTCCTAAAAGGCCGGTGTTCTGTCCGGTTGTTTCGCTGTTTCCTACTGAGTTTACATCATTTCCGACTTAGTTACAGCCAATCAGAAGTGTTAAAAACAAGTCCCGCCCAGCAATGCGTCGGGTCTTTAAAGGGATATTCCACCCAAAACAGAAATTGAGTCCGTTGACATATTTCCCAGCGTTAGATAAGAGGGAAAAAACAACTTTAACCAGACTCGTCTGTGCTCTTTTCGCTTTAGCTTAGCATAAAACACAGTAAGTGAATGGATCCAACTAGTATTGAGAGTAAAAACGTCCTAGTGATCACCACTCTGCTTGGTGACCAAATAATCTGACTGACTGAATGAGAGTGAAAATAAAAAGTAACATAAAGGAATCACAAATAATCAAGTCCCTTTGAGGTGCCATTTGTAAAGATAAGTCAGTAATAATTTATCAGCAGTATACAATTTCCTAAGTCATATTTTACAATGTTATTCGTACATTTATGACTGTTAAAGTTCCAACTATTTAGTTAGCAAGCTAAATATTTCATTAAAAACTAAATAGACCTAAATGTTTAGGTTTTTAAACAATTATTTCATTCACTAAATAAATGTTTAATTTGGAGCTAAATATTTATTTTACAAATCAAATATTTAGTTCCAAATTAAAAAAAATTCAAAATAAGTATTTAGATCCCAGCTAAATATTTATTTTGCAAAATCAGTATTTATGTAGGTTTAGCCTCAAATAAATATTTCTGTGTGCCAAATATAAATAGACCGCAGGCCTAATTGCACCCAAGGGCCTGAGTTTGTGCTATACAGCTATAACCCAGTATGGACCAAACTAAACTGTGTATATCAACTGTAATGCAGGGGGAGGCTGTCTGCTTGTGTGAATTGATGTCTCCAGATTTAAGGGCTAGATCTTTTATTCTGCATCCGAGGAACGTTGTCAACTGGAATATGGGAGAGTCAAGCTTATAAGCTGTAGCTGTCAATTGTTATCTAACAAGCTGAAACTATTCAGGTATTTTTGTCAACACACGTTTTCTTTTATTTTCACACTTTACATCATGTACAATGACGAGGATTGTCAAGACATTGAGTCTTCTGTATTTATGTAAAATAACATTTACTTCCTTTCATTTCTCCAACCCCCATAAACCCCTACATGCCCAGCGATGGCAAGCTTGAAAAACAATTGACATAACACAACAGCGTCCGGGTCTTCTGGACTCAAAATGTACGTGTTGTTAAAACTACTATTTTTAGCACATTTTCAGGTCTGACGTGTTGCTACCAGACATTGTGTGAGCAGTCGGTTCGCACCCGATCGAGTCGTACATTCTGAGAACATGATTCGTGAGCTTTGCTCTGCAAGGAAGTCGTACAGTTTGAGACCGAGCTGAATGCTACCAGTGGAAGTCGTAGCGTCCGCTTGGCTTTATTGGTCTACCCCTACTGAAAGCAACAATTTTACAACCAGTCAATCTTTTTATTATCAAGTCACTTTATGCTTGAAACAAGTGCAAAGTTACACTTTTAGACTATGTGGTCAAAGTTTTTATAAAACAATCACGTTAATTGGTGAGTTTCAACATGCAGTTTAAAAGTGTCCTCCTGCCTGAAGATTCTACCGCACGTCAAGCACTGAAAAGACTTCTTGTGTGTGTGGATCATCAGGTGTCTCTTCTTGTCTCTCAAACTGTAGAAAGTCTTGGGACAAAGCGAGCACCTGTAAGTCTTCTCTCCGGTGTGTTGGCGAGTGTGACGTGTCAGTATGCACTTTGCAATGAAACCTTTCCCACATTGTTTACACTTGTAAGGCCTCTCGCCGGTGTGGGAGCGCATGTGCAGCCTCAACTCCCCGGAGGAGAGGAAAGCCTTCCCACACTCTGAACACAGATAGTTCTTCTCCCCTCGGTGCATGCGCATGTGTCTTGCCATTTGCTGGATGGAGGTCTTTCCACATATGTCACATTTATAGCGCCAATCCCCCGTGTGTGTGCGTGAGTGTGAATTTAGAGCAGTTGAAGTCCTGAAGCCTTTGCCGCAGGTGGAGCACAAAAATGGCGTCTCTCCAGTGTGACTCCGGTAGTGGATAGTCAGTTTTGATTTATTGAGATACTTCTTGTCACACTTATCACACTGATATGGAGGACCTTTGCTGTTAGAGGATGCTTCTTCCTTTGAAAATTCGCAGATTTTCAGTCCAGGGATTGTTGTTCCCCTCATCAGAGTGATATCATTCCTAAAGATGTTACCAGGTTTCTGGATCAGATGTGTCTGTCTGATGTGCTGAAGAAGATCTGACACTTTGCCAACAGTGTAGGAGCATTTAGAGCAGTAATGGAGCGTAGATGGACCAGAACCTGAAAGAAACAGAAATGACAAACATTTTTATTTTTGGTTATTTTGTCTCGTCCCCCCCAATATGTGAAATAATTTAAATTAGTACAGCAAATATCTTTGTGAACACAGATTTGTAGGGAAATTAGCAGTTTTCATACCTTCACTTTGTTGATTTTTTCCATCATCCCTTCTCCCTGAATCGTCCACAACTGGTTCAGTCTGGTTTTCCTCAGATGATTCTTTATCTAAATCAAACCCCTCTTCATCACTGATTGGAGACTCTTCCTGGTTTGAACTGGGTTTGGGATGCAGGGACAGAAAGGGCAAAAACATATTCTGAGTTTGAGAGAAACCTGTGACAAAGAAAAAAGATAAACATCAGACCAAGATGTTAAAACTCAACTGGTGAAGAAAAGTAGCTTCAGGCGACAGGATTTGGAGTCTTATTTCCTGATATTTGGACATCTCGCTTCAGATTGGCTAACACTAACAGTTAGCTTCTACTAGTCGAGACAATCTCTGCGGTTTCCTGGACGCTAAACCAACAACAGCCTTCCCCGTCATGAGTCAAGATGGGTGAGTCCATGAATGTTAAAGGTGAAGTCTGTGAGAATTGAGTTAGATACATCCTGTTGGTCAAATCTGGTTACTGCAATCACTGACTATGTTTACATGCAGCCAATATCCGGGTTATGATCGGGTTAAGGTCGGTATTCGGGTTTCTGAGTTGATAAGAATAACCCGTTTTCAAGCATAAATAGAAAGAGTTACCTCTAACTTGCATAACCCGATTTAAATGCGGACATTGGGGTAGCGTCAGGACGCGTGGACTACGTCCAGACGCAATATGCGTCATTTCCGGTTCTTCTCGTTCCGGTATCCGTGAAAACAACATTTTTCCCAGTTTGGAAGAGATAGCCACCACGTTTGTTTGCGCTTTAGTTTCTTCGTCACTCCAAAAGTGTGGTGCTGTGCCGCGACTCGCCATGTTGCTCCCAACTTGTTGTTTACTTCCGGTGTTCTGGCGCATACAAGACGTCTCGCTACTCAAAAGACCAAGATTCCTTGTGAACAGAGCATGCGCAGAACACACGCTTAGATGGGGATATCCCGGTATGCGTTTACACGACCAAACATTCGGGTTAGAAAAGGGTTACCCCAGGTGTAGTAACCGGGTTTTTAAAAACCCGGTTAGGAGCATATCCGGGTTTCTGGCGGTGTTTACATGGACCTGCGGAACCGGGTTATTGTGAATATTCGGGTTTTAAAAGGGTTACTGGCTGCATGTAAACGCACTGACTCTCTCACTCCTGTTTTGTGAGTTTCATGGCTGTTAGGCATCAGCACCAGAAGATTATAGATTACAAGATGAGTCATAATTTAAAAGGCATTACCCAAAATACCTTGGAAGTCACACCTTCAGTCAGATACTCAGAGAGGTTAACTCTTAATGCGAAGTGCAAATGTTATAACAGTTAAGTGCAGAAAAATATTAAACATTAATAATAATCTTATTATAATGTGAATGAGCATAGTGATAGATAAACTTGTTAAACCAACAAATAATGATCTGATGTAGTTTAAGATCTAAAATGAATCATTGCAGAAAAATGTTAATTTTAACACATCACTGATTAATGCAAAACATTATTCAAACACTTTGGGATTTAACAAGAGATGATCATATGACACTTATGCAATTATCACGTTTTAAAAAGTAATTTATGATTCAAGGAAGATGAACTTTATTCAGGGTGAAAGTGCAGAAGTCTCATCTTCTGCATGAGACCTTGAGCAAAGATAGTATGGCTCCCTTGTTTGGTAACAAGGTCTTGTGCAGTGCTTTCTTGTTTGGAGAACAGACAGATGGGGTGTTAGTGTGTGCAAATTAAAAAGTTAATTTCTGGTCAATTTGATGAAAACTTGACCTTTGGGTAAGCTACACACAGCAAATTTATAAGTTGACAAATACTAGGGATGTGTATTGATGAAATTCTGGCAATACGATACGAATCATGACACAAGGGAGACGATATGATATACTGCGATACATTCAGCCAGATGATATGAGATTAGTGCTTTTTTAGACTGAATTTATTGTAGTAAAATTCAATGAACAGTCTAAACTGATATGTAACATGTTTAAAATGAGGTATCTGAACCATAACAGGATTTATATTTCAATAATGGAAACACAACCCACTGCACACTGTTGCCAACTAGTGGTCAGGGTTTGAACTGCACCAAAAGAAAAAGAAAATACACAAATGTTTGCATATTGATTTTTCTAAAATTTCAACACACAGCTTTTGAATATCAATATAATATTGCAGGAAAAATGTCACACTATACTGCCATATCAATATTTTCTTACATCCCTAATAAATACATTGTCATAGCTGGTGCTAGCACTTTCCCCTGCTGCACACAGGGGCATTCATACCTGTGTGTTTACCACCCAGCTTCAGCTCTTCTGTGGTTGGGTCTGACCCAAGTTAGTACATTTAAGTCCTCCATCAGATTTGTGCCTGTTCTGGTGTCATTTTAAAGGATTTTATTTATTTATTTAACCATTACTAGATTAGCAGCAACAGAAATGCTACTAAAAACACACAATTATGTGAAGCTGGAAAAATTAGAATACGGCGCAAAATTTCATTTATTTCAGTAATTTAACTAGACTGAGAGACCATTTAAAGGCTCAGGAACCTTTACATGTGTTTCTATTTGCAATTATAAATTTGTCTGATTGGGGTCTTGTTAAATACAACACAGTGACATTTTAATAGTCTAGGTGAGTGTAATGTTCCTGTTAGTAGTTCCTCCTGTTAAGTGCCCATTTATTTGAAATATTCAGTTTTATAACAAACATTTGGACATACATTTTATTATGTTCCAGTCATTAGTCTTTTATATTTCAGTATTGTCGTAATTTATAGTACATTAAGCAAGTTTAATTAAGAGGGGAACCCATTTTTCATGCATTCTTTAATGAAAAAAAAGTAATGAAATAGTTGTTGTTCTTGGTAGTTAGTTACTTTGTTTGTGTGATTATCAGTGTGATTTTATTTTTAATGTCTACAATGACTTTGTTATTATTATTATTGTTATAATTGTAGTTTTTGTTCTATTATAATGTTCGAAATAAAGATTTCATTCATTCACCTTTATAATCTTGTAACTTGGTAAGTAACTGAGTTATATTTTGACAAAGTAATCAGTAACTATAACTAATTACTTTTAAAAAGTAACGTTCCCAGAACTTCTAAAAGAATACTCCCTTTAATTTTTTGTAAAACTAAAAGCCAAAATCTTTGTCGACTAAAACTAAGAAGGCAGCACAAAACAACAGTGCTTCAGAGACAATTATGTAAGCTCATTTAGGGAATATTTAGAAAAGTTTATAAAATGTTTTGCTTACATTTGTATTTAGTTTGTTTCTGGTGGAAGTCCAACAGCTCCTTTAGCTGTTCCCGCTCTAAAACCAGTTGTCCACATTCTTCCAAGACAGAGGGGGTGCTGCTGAGCCACTCAGCTGTCTGCAAATCACATTAGAAATGTTAAAAAGCCAAAAAGATTCAACCTATTTAGTAACAATAGCATTCAGCCATCTTTTTCAATAAAATGAAAATTACAATAATTAAACTACTTAGTTGATCCACCTGTTTTATGTCAGGGATGGGCAGCAGGCTGTCCAGTCTGGAGATGAATTTCCACACTAGTGATTGTAACGTGGCTTCATATTGTTGGCCGTAATGGATGGGGAAGACCTCCTGGAAGATATGAATAGGGAGCCAAAGTCACGCCCATCTATTCTGGACCATGGGTCTATGAGAAGATGCTATTTTCTGGTCTCATTTGATACGCAGTGCCATGATTTTAATATTGGATGTCTGTGAATTTTAAAGACACATTTTGATGATAACTAAGTGCTCCTTTTTGACAGGCAGCAAAAGTTATTTTAGGGTTTGTGTGAAAAGACGTAGCAGACTACAAGTGACTGTCTCACCAAATTGATGTCATCGAACCAGCCACGAAGAGGAGGAGGAGGAGAAAGGCTCCGAGTTTAGCGAGCTTTGAATAATTTATTCAGGGCAAAAGAACCACTGAATATCTGGCCTTGTGGTAAGTAGCAGCTACGCTGCAGGAGAAGCGATTGTACGGTGACGTCATATATGTGACGTGTGATTTGTAGTCATTTGATAATGAATCTCAACAAGCCAATAAACCTCAACCTACATGACATAGTAGAAACACATCATTACTCTTCATTTAAATTGAAACAATATGTGTGATTCAGGGCGTGAGGCAAAGCAGATTAGAGAATATCTTTTATAGCCCCATTGACTTCCATACAGTTTTCTTTGCTCCGGGTCCAATCAGCTGACCAGACGGGGAGGAGACTTACCCCTTCTTCCCACCGGAGCCGCCAGCAGCACGTTAAGCCTGATTCATGCTTCTCCGTCTGCGCCAGTGCGGAGACACTCAACGTCCTTGCGTGCCTGCCGGAGAGCTCCGCAAGTACGGACGGAGTCGAGCTCTCTTTTCTAAACATCCGTCAGTCGAGACGGACAACGCAAGCTTGTGATTGGTCAGGACGCCGCTGTTGTTTACAGCGCCGCCATTGCGCCCTCAAAAACATAAAGAGAGCCGAGGATAACAAGCGGCAGACACGGAGCAGCTTGAAGAATACCTCGCGAAAAAAACTCTAAAAATATGAACGTTTAATTCCCCTGTGACTGGAGGAGTGAAAAGATGCGCAGCAAGCTTTTTATTTGTGGACGGAAATGACAGGAAACCTGGGGTTAGAGGTGGGGAGCGCATGAAGAGGTGGAGGAGAATGAGAGACAAACTTGTCTATTAAAAAGTCTCTTATATACAAAAAAAAAAAACCCACAATACAAACACACTATCTTAGACCGGATACATGACAGGATACCACAGAACAACGCTACGCCCTCTGTTGTCCTGGTGGGGAATTGCTTTGCAACATTCTCCAGGAGACGGAGAAGTATGAGAGCAAAACGCTTCCGTCAGTCCGTGCGTGTCTGTGCCTTGCAGAGCTGATGGAGAAGCATGAACCAGGCTTTACTGCAGCAGCACGTCTTGCTCGCGTAAGCTGCTGCTTGGCCCTTCCCACGAGACGCGAAGCAGCAGGGGAGCCGCTGTCACCGACATAGCACGAAGTCAATCATGTAACTTCGTCAGTAAACACAACAACAAGCAGGAGAAAATTACAACATGACTCCAAAAGGTTTGTGTTTTATGTTCTGTCCGTTTTATAATTGCCAATATGGACCTGAAAAAAAAAGGAGACCGCTAGCTAGGTGGTAACTTCTCACGGGGCCGCACAGTTTGTAACTTTTTTTGAAAGTAAAGCAACCGGAAGGCAGTACGTTTCTTTATTCTGAAAATCTTGGGAGCTTCGCTCCGTTTCCGCGTCCGATTTCCTGTCTTTCCTTCCCCAAAAATGTCGAACTTGACCCGTTTCAGAGGCGTCGCTCGTAGAAAATAGAACCTGCGCGTAAGGGCCGTGACATGCTGCTCCTGAGACGCGGCCGACTCGTGCTGCTGACGGCTCCGGTGGAAAAGGTTCTGTTGACCACAGCGGTTCCTATCAGCAGCTATGACGTGCTGCTGCAGTAACGTGCTGCTGACGGCTCCGGTGGAAAGAAGGGGTTAGGCTCCCTTTACAGTTGCCAGGTTGACTTTCATGACAAAAAGAAAAGAAAACAGTTATTAAGAGTCTCACCGTGAAAAACCTCTCCCTTTCTTCTGGGTCCTGAAACAAAGTTTGAACAACCTCCACGAAGTTAGTTTTGGACTTCTCCAGCTCCTCAAAGTCCTACCGGAGTGAAAAACAAAGACAGGAGCAATGGAGGTAAAGAAAGAGCGAGTGCTTGAATGGGTGAATGAAAAAGATGCTGCAGGATGTTACAAAGGCTTAAAGCTGATATCTGAGACCGACCTCCTGATCACAGCCAGAGCTCATCTTCAGGTTTAAAATGACATCCAGATGGGGCTGGACGTGCAGCGGCGTGGCGGTGCTCTCACTACGACACAACTCCAGCACAAGCTGAAACGGACAGAAAGAGCTTCTTAACAAAGATTGCATAGTTTACCCAGTAAATCCTTTTGAAGTGATTGTTTAGGAGAATGAGATCCGGCCTCTTACCCTCGCTCTGAGTCTGAGCAGGAGCTGAACTCTTTCTCTGGCTGTGAGCAGCTCTGGAGCCAGCTCCGTCACCAGCACCACCAGCTCCTCCACTTTCCTATAATGAACCACATTACAACACTGGACCACCTGCCAGGCGAAGGCGGACATCAGGCGAAGGGTCGGAATCAGGAGGCACAAAGACGGGATGGACAAACGGTAACCTGGAAACGCAGCAAGAATTAATTTCGTACTTCTACACCTTTTCGTTGCATTTAGCTCATTTTGGATGTTCATCATAAAAACACAATGAAGCGGAAACAGCTAAAATGAAGTGATCTGATGTGGTTGTTTCGTACCTTCTGATGGTTCTGCTGAGTCAGGCTCTGATCTCCGCACAGACCCACACTCTGACTCAGTGACCATAGCTGCTGGTTTACCCACAGTCTTTGGTTTGGCACGACCGTAAACGTCATCCATCAGAGCAAACCAGCTGAGTTCTTTTGAGTCATTTTGCTCCCTAATTCTTTCATACTCCTGCTTAAGAAGCCTCACTTTTGTCTGGCATTGGTTAGCGGTCTTATCAAAGCCCTGAGTGGCGAGCTCTGAACTCAGCTGAGCGTACACGCTCTCATCCTCCTGAGTGACTGCTAGGCGCTTCTGGACACACTCCTCTGCCCACCGCGTGAGCAGCACGTCCACTTCGTCTGACGTCCAAACAGCTTGTGAGAAATCTGCAGAACAGAAAGTGATTTTACCAATTAGAAGCATCTATAAAGTAAAAAGAATTGATCCAAGCACTAAAACATTTTTATTTGGTAGGGCCTAAAATTAAAATCTGATGTTAGCCCAGATCTGGACGAGCGGGGGAGTAGAGGGAGGTGGAGTGTACAGTGGAGAGTAGTCAGTAAAAGTGGCTCTCCCTTGCCCTGCATCCAACATGCCTCCATCTTAACGGCTAGGTTATCCAGAGTTATCTCTGTAGTTATGCTGCTATAGGCTTAGACTGCTGGAGGATATACTGACTACTTTCCACACTCGACTACTTTTGTCTACAATTTCTCTCTAATTGCATTATCTCCTGCTATTTCAGCTGTTAACTTTATTTTTTATTTTTTTCTCTAATTGTTTTTCTCCCCAGCAGAGGCTACAATGATGTTCTGCTGAGCTGTGGGGGCCTCATGGAGGGGGCCATCGTCTAGCACACTGCTGCTAACCATTTAATTATTCTCCCTCTCCTGATAATAACATTTTACTTTCTTTGACATTGAATGTGCTACTACTAGTTTACCCGTTTAATTATAGATTCACTAGGATAAATACAATAAAGTTGATCTCTCACCAAATAGAATATTTACTAAGAAATCACAATGTAACCATTGAAACATTACTCGGTATATATGTTGTGTGTGTGGATGTGTGTGTGTCTGTTCTGTCTTTTCAATCCCCAGTGAGCCATGGGAGATGGCTGCTTATACTGAGCCAGCATCCTCTGGAGGTTTCTTCCGTGTCCGGTGACAAATCGTACAGGGTAAGGACTAATTTCTTCTAATAAGTTTATTTTACAACAGTGTGTACCATTTACACAGTCCCAGCTTCGCCTAGCCGAGTGGACTTATTTAGTGCAACAGTGCCCTCTAGTGGCTGGTAGATGACAACGTAAACCCAGCATCGTGCCAGACAGTAAAAATTTTATAATTTTTTTTAAATATAGCTTTTAAAGGAGAAACTGTACATTCATTCTGCAAACCTCTAATTGCCCCGTGGAGGTATTTTTTTTAAATATCGCTTTTTATTAAAATGTTCTATATTCCACCTTTAAAAGGGAGTTTTCTTCTCCACTGTCGCCAAATGCGTACGAGGATTACTGTAAAGACACTGACACTAGTCAGTGACTTGATGGAATTTACTGGGTTCCTTATATTGGAAACTATTTGGCTTAATGAACTGACCTGTATTGGAATGTTTACAGTGTGAAGTGCCTTGAGACGACTCTTGTCGTCATTTGGCGCTATATAAATTGAACTGAATTGAAAGATTCATCTGAACGTTTTGTCATCAGACAGTCTCACCTTCAGGTGCATTCACGTCTTTGGAAGTTTCTCCATCAGAACCAAGAACACCATCCATGATCACAAACCAGTCGCTTTGATCATTCCCATCTGGTTCTACCTGCAGGATTTTTTTGTGCTCTTCTATCAGCTTGTTCACTTTAACCCTACACTGCTGTGGCGTCTTATTAAAGCCAACCAAAGCTAGTTCGTTGCTGAGATTTGTGAAGACCTCAGAGTTTTGCCCTGAGGTGAGAAGCTGCTCTTGGATGCTTGGTTGTGCCCAGAGAGTGACGAGAACTTGGACTTCATCAGGCAGCCACTCTGCTTCATGTGTCAAATCTTTAAAAAGAAACAATTAAAAAAAATGTAGTTAAACTATAAAAAAATATAATTTTTGTTAGTTTCTTGTTAAATCTGACTCACGGTTAGTCTCCATATCAGTAGCAACAAGCTGAGAAGATTCTGCTAAGGAAGACGTTGATGCTTCTGAACATTTTGAAGCAGCAGGCTGCAAACTGAGGGCTTCACCCAGAATGCCCAACTGCATGGTTCTGCTCCAACCCATGTTCTGACGCTTCTTGATTTTCCTGTAGTTTTGCTTCAGTTTTTTTATCTTCTCCTTGCATTCTTGAGCTGATTTGTTAAATCCTAGGGAGGCCAGTTTGGCACTGAGGCTGTCGTAAACGGCATTGCTTCTCACTTTAAGCAGGAGGTCTTGTTGAACGCTGGGATTTGCCCAGTAGACTAATAAGGCATGGACCTCCTTTTTGGACCAAGCAAATACGGACGTATCTGTGAAAACAGAAAGCAAGTTGTTGTAGGGGTTTTCTTTCTTTGCACTAACTCAGAGACATCTTGGACAGGTCACGTTTGTACACAAGAATGTGTTCTCCAAAATTTTAACTGGTTAAAAAAATGTTAATTTGTGACAAAATACGAGTAAGCGATGCATATAAAGCAGAACACAGGAAACAAGGTCACATTTAAGTTTCAACACTGCAAAAGGCTCTTCTTTTTGTTTTGGGTTTTGGGCATTTGTTTGGGTCTTTCTTTGAACGTCCACATCAGGCCAATCACCTCTTTTCTCCCCACATAGATGTGAGACCACGTGGCTGTAGATGACCAACCAGGGACATTCACTTTAGCTGAGTAAAAACCATAGACTGTACATACAAGTAAAAACAAGTAAATGTAGGTTCTCTGTGGAGCGCGATGGTGGGAAACTGGTAATAAGGTGTTCACTACTATGGGTGCATCTGAAAAACATACTAAATATGTCATATTTAGACAAACATCTCAAATTCTTCCCAACAATAAATCTCGAGCTACAGGGAAAGCTTAACAGCATTTAAAAGAACATATTTTATCACTTAATCTGCAGTTTATGTTCTATAGTCATATTTAAGCTTCTTTATAGGCTGGCTCGTTTGGCTCACTCGATCCACTCACTTCCGTAGCAGTCTGTCTGATATTTGTAACACAACTCACGTTTAATTTGCGACCACGCAGCACAAAGCTCCTGAGCATCTTCACGAGACCAGTTCACCGCTGACTTCATGTGTTAACTTTCCCCTTGATAGCAGATAACACGGGCAAACAAAACTAAATAAATTTGCAATGTTTTTTTTCTATCAAAATGGCGTTCCGTTTTCTCGTCGCAACACTGACGTCATATCTATGAGCGACGTTGCTTGCTTGACTGCCGTGTGTCGCCGCCATATTAGAGGGGTCTCCACATTCTCCAAAGTCAATGCAGACCAAGATCTGAGACCCGTTATACAGGGACCTAACAGGGCCTGTTGCCCCATAACTCCCATAGGGTCTCCCGAGAGATGCGGCCAAACCTGAATATATATATATATATATATATATATATATATATATATATATATATATATATATATTTGAATATATCAATGGGTTGAATGCCTTCTCTAAATCCATAAAACACATGTACAGTGGTTGGGCAAACTCCCAGGAACCCTCTAGGAACCCCCCAAGGGTACAGAGCAGGTCCACTGTTCAAAGCTAGGTCAGGAGTCCAAATTAACTAAACTTTTCATTTTTTTCAGGCCCTTGTTGGTACGAACAAACATTTGACAGGTGCTGGAGAGAAACTATTTCTCATGTCCAGACCTCAAGGACCTGTTATTGGTGGTACCAATCACTCACTGACATGGGAATAACCCCTGAACCATCTGGTTCCAACTTAAACCTCCTACTCCTGGGAAGAAATCATGACTTAACTTGCAGGTAAAACTAAACCTTCAAAGACTGATGCTGAGGCTGCTAGAGCAGGGCTTCTGATCACTCACACACTTTAAGACTTCACTTCCATTACTTCTTCCTTTGTACTTCAATGTTTAGCTCATTTTCTTCAAGAATGAACACATTAATTCATTAGCACAACTTAGTTGGAAAACAGTTCCTTTGCCAAGAATTTTTATTTTGTTCAAAAATCATCCAAGACAAAGAATACAAAAAAATCCCACATTACATTGCTTACTATGCTTTATACATAACTTGTGATACATAATTAAAGAAAGGAGTTGTGGCAAAGTGTTTCACACATACGCAAAATAAAAAAAAGCTGTGATTTCTTTCTAATTTACCAATATCAGAGCAATAAAACAGAAAAAAGTGACACAAACTAAAAGCAGACACATAATGTTGACAATTTACAGTTTTGTAAATTAAATGTTTTACAGATTTTGGAAGAACACAGTAACACAGTTTCCCGTGATGCTAAATAGCATTATCTCCAGTCCCATGCTTCAGAATACCTGTTTTGCATGATATGCATCTGTTACATGTAGGCTTTTCTGATCGTAGCTTTTTGCTAAGACCGATGTTTGGAAAGGATTTTCAACATGAACTAGAACAAACACTGATTAAAGAGAAACTAAGTACATAAAATAGCTCATTATATGTTATTTTAAGAGTCGGATGTATTATTAAAGTATAACTGTACTTACTAAACTACATGATAAACTAATGTCTATCTCACAATTTAAAATAAGTTATGCTTATGCATCTTCATATATTTACTTGCAATGCAATTGTTAATAATGACCTATTTTTATAGTTAAGTGATCAAAATCAAGCTAAAAACACTTATTTCTGGATCCATAATTGCGTACATTATTTTAGTATTAATAGTCATCGCTGCCCTCTTCTTCCTCATCATACTTCTTGTTGAGGGAGTGCTTCTTGTGCTTAACCCTGTGCCGCCGTTTCCCGGTGAAATCAGGGAGAGCTTCCCTGGTATGCAGCTGCTCGTGCTTCTTAAGAAGGCCAGGGACAGAGAAGCCCTTCCCACACGTGTCACATGTCCAGGGTTTCTTGCAAGTGTGAGTGCGTTTGTGGACATTCAGATGGGAGGCCAGCTTGTAGGTCTTCCCACACACATCACAACTGAACGGCCGTTCGTTGGTGTGTAACCTGATGTGGACCTTCAGGTTCCCCACTTGTGTAAAGGTCTTTTCACAAAGGGTGCACCGGTAGGGCCTCTCTCTGGTGTGAATCCTCAGATGAACTCTCAGGCAGTATTTACTTGAGAACTTCTTTTGGCAGACAGGACATGGGATCTTTGCTTTAGGTAGGTGGTCTTGCTGGTGCCTCTTCAGGTCAGACAGGTAAACAAAGGTCTTCCCGCACTGGGAACAGAGATACTGGCGGTCTCCGATGTGGTAGCCCATGTGTCTCTTCAACAAGCTGGGAACAAGAAATCTCTTGCCGCAGCGCTCGCACATGTGGGGTCGATCTCTGGTGTGCCAGCGCTCGTGGTTGGACAGCTTGAAAGATGTGGGGAAGGTTTTGGTGCAGTGCTTGCAGGGAAACGTCATCTGGCTCGTGTGGCATTCCATATGCCTTTTGAAGTAGGTGGACTGCGTGAAGCCTTTGTTGCAGATGTTACAGTAGAAGGGCTTTTGGCCGCTATGGGCCAATATGTGCTTTGTGAGGCTCTGGAGTTTGCTGAAACATTTGCCGCACTGGCCGCAGGCATAAGGACGAGAAGTGCTGTGTGTCTTCAGGTGATTGTTGAGGAAACCCTGTGTGCGGAAACTTTTGTTGCAGGCTGAGCACAAATAAGGCTTCTCCCCCGTGTGAATGCGCTCGTGGTCCAACAGCTTTGATTGATAAGGGAAGCTCTTATCACACACGCTGCAGTTAAACCTGTCAGCCAAGTGTCTGAACTGCTTCTTCCTTCTTATACTTGGCCTCGAGTCATCCTCACTCAGTCTTCCAGGAGGAAGAGGTGGCAAAGCTGGGAGAGACATCGAGTTAGAAGCAATCTGTGACACCCACTGATGCAGCGTGACGCGCTGAGTGTGAGGTTTCTGACCATCTTTTGCTCCTGCACAACCAGCGTTCTGTAATGCGGAGGAACTTTTAAATGGCACCTGAACAACTCTGAAAGGGATTGGTTTCAACTTCAGTGGCGTCGAGTCATTTTTCTCTGTTGCTCCATCGTTTTCTTTGTTTTGCAGAGTTGTGGGAAGAGGCGGCTGATCAGAACTCTTCTCCTGCACCAGGTTCTCACTCGGTGTTGCTGCTATTCCACTCAGCTCTGCTGTGCTGGTATCAGCTGTTTTTTGAGTAGTTTGCTCATCTGGTTGAGGCTGAGCAACAGAAGCTGATGGGATGTCATAATCGTCATCTGAAATATCGTCCACATCTTCGTTATCACTGAACGAGGAGGGGCTTCTTTCACTTATGGTGATCTCCTGTGGTTTTGGTAACTGTGGTGGTGGTGGTGGTGGTGGAGGAGGGGGTGGAGGTACTGGTTTGGGCATAAATGCGAGTGAGGACAGCACACAGTCGCCCACTGAATTCGAGACAGTTGCTGTGCAAGGAAAGGAGAATAAACAGTATTTTTCTCTGTTCTTTTCTTTATAACAAGTTAAAACACTTGTTGGTGTTTTTCATCTAAGCTTTAAACAACAAGAGCTGTACCTTTGACACTAAAGACTCCTTTGGACTGCTTGTGAAGAAGTAGAGTCTTTAGATCTCCAGGATCAGGGATGATTCCTCCACATGCATTGAGGACATTAGAGTCCATTGAGATCATGGCACCGAGCTAAGATGAAGGAACCAAGAAATGAAAAAATGATACATTTATGTTTATGTAAAGAGTATGTTGAACATATGTGCTGAAAAAAGGATGCTAAACTACTTGTTTTAAATAAAATGTGTTTTTCTCATCTGACCAACACTTAAGCTGGTTTAAAAAAATCCAATGATAGCAGAAATCTGCAGCAGTGTAGCTAGTATTTTATATTAACCCTGCCAACACTTTAGAAAGCGTTGATGTGTTAGTGTTTTCTAAATACAGGTTACCTGGGACAAATTAGGAACAGGGAGAAGTTTTTCCATCTGGCAAACAAGGCCAGCAGTCAGAGTCTGCAGCGCTGTGTCAAACTTGCTGCCGTACTGAACTGGAAACACTTCCTGAATAGAAAGAAAAAAATATCTAGGTTGTGAGTTTAAAATGGGAAATGCACAATCCTAGAAAAACATGTTATATGTCAAAGGAACAAATTCTTAACACAAGAACTGCTTTTTCAAGCTACTACACACTCAAATCAGCTGTTTTATTAAGATAAGAATAAACCAATGCTGCACTAACATGATGGTCTGGTAAAATCACCTGAAAGAAGCGCTTCCTCTCAGTGGGGTTTTTGAGCAGATGCTGAACCAGCACCATAAAGTTTGTCTGGGATTTCTCCACCTCTGTTTCCTTCTATATATATATAAAAAAATACAATGTCAGTATTTTTTCAGGCCTTGGGATAATATAAACGTCCTGGAAACACAAAGCCGGCCGTTTCTCCAGAGAAAAGTTATATGCATACCCCTGAAGAAATGGGGACCTTCAGCTTATTTACAAGTGTTTGAATAGCCTTGGCATCTGGTGGGTTATCATACTGCAGTAAGTCCAAAATGATCTGAATTAAAAAGCAATAAAAAGTGTTAATGGCTGACCAGGTAACTGCAGTTTTTGTAGCTTCTTCGTGATCAAATGTCATATATTACTACTTGAAACACGCACCCTTGCTCTCAAGCCCAAGATTAGCTGAGCACTCTGCTTGAAAGTCATGAGCTCTGGCACAGTCTGTGTCACCATGGTTACAAACTCTTCTACTTTCCCATAATGCTTCACGTTTCTCTGCCTTATGACCTGCCATATGTACGAGTATGTAAGCTGCAGGGGGGAGGCCAATAGGCGGAGGGATGCCATGGGAAGGGCCCCTCCGGCACCTGAAAAACAGATACACATTTCTAAATTACATGTAGAACAAATTTCATATAATCAAACATCCTCACCATCGGAAACTTAAAGCAGTTTTGAAACAAAATAATAAAAAGCAACAGAAAATTATAAAATCTATTACATTGTTATAGTTTTTTTTCATATAGATTATCTTAAAAATGTGAAAAAAGTTACAAGTAGCACATGGCAAATAGCGCAAGTGTCTGAAAAACGTTTCATAATAATGCCAACCTGAGTGGTAGATGAAAGAATAGGTTACAAAATGGGAACTATATACATCTTTGAGACATAAACGGTGAGTTAAAACACCTAATTTTCAAAATTTTACATCTGGGCTATTCAGTTTAGGGTCTCAAGGGCCGCCATCCAGCATGTTTTAGTGGTTTCTCTGCTCCAACACACTAGATTCAGTGGTGGAATAACCTGTGCAGCAGCTCATCAGGCTCCGCAGAAGCCTGTAGATTGAAACCAGGTGTGTTGATGCAGACATTAAAACCAAAACGTGCTGGATACAGGTTATGTCTTTTTGAGTTCCCCCTTTCGACATCTGTTTTTGCTCCACCCACCATCCACTCACCCTAACCACCCAGTCACCAAAAATGTATGTTTTGCATAATTATAATTTATAAAATAACTCTGTGTAGCATGCTTTTATGTTTGTTTCAGGTTATGATAAGGACACACATTTTTTGTGAGTGGATGGTTCCAACTCGCAGCTGGGTAGAGCGGAAACAGATCTCGAGGGGGGAGGGAACTCAAATCGACAGGACACCTGCCCTCGAGGCCCGGAGTGGAATAGCCCTGCTTTACATCTTTAACGTTTTGATAAATCTTCTTTTGACAGAGCACAGCGCTTCCGTAAGAGGCGCAGTAGTGAAAACTAGCTTTACAAGCTTCTCCGCTTTTACAAAAAAAGTGCACTTGTGCGTGTGCATGTGCAGTGATGAAGGGCGCCAATCCATATAAATAGTTTGATAACAGGCTTTAAATCCATCGTTCCTACTAAACTATTGCCCACGAGTTATCTTAGGGGGGCAACTTGCCGTGTGACGGTCTATTCTTATACTTGAGATAATTTAATTTTCCAACCAAACTGCAGCTAAAGATCATTATCTAGCTTGCTTCTGTACATTTCCTGTTGGAAAAACAGAACAAAAGCTGTCTATATCGAGGTTATCAGGTGATGGGAAGCATTCAGATTACAGCAGCGGAAGGATGGCGTTGCGTTTTATTTTATTAACCACCAGCTACCGTTAGCTTGTTCGTCGTTAGCTTAGCAACTTACCTGTTGTACTGGACCGTCGGTCCATACTGTGATCAAGGTGCGTAGAAAATATCACCAACGAAATAAATACTCCGGACGGGTTGTAAATACAGCAACTCGGGGAAAAGCGTAATGTTTACATGTATTAAATCATCTTATTTCGGGCGTCAAGCCACGAAGAATAATGGCGGCCGGTCAGTAGCAGCTTTCCAAAACAAAAGTCTGACTACTTCCGGCGGATATTACCGTGCAAAATAAAAGTTTATATATATATATATATATATATATATATATATATATATATATATATATATATATATATATATATATATATATATATATATATATATACACCTATATATATACCTATATATATAAATTCTTAGTCCTAAGCATATGACAAAAGGATTAGTTAAAAATGTAATTTATTATACAAATAAAATATATAAAGAAAGCATTGTTGGCAAAAAAAATACTATGTTCTTAACGTCATCATCAAAAGTTCAACCAAGCAGCCTTTCAGTTACACCCTAAGCCACATTCATTTAAATCCACAGTTATTAGAACATCAGCACAACTGGATTATTCTTTCTAATTGTGTCAAAGAGGCATCATTCAGATACTTTCCCCCAGAACAAGAACAGAGGTCATTTTTACACCCAGTGCAGTTATGACATGAATGGTTCTGTTATTTGCAACTGCAGGAAAAAAAGGTTTATCAAGAGGCTCAAAATGTAATATAATTTTACATACAAATGTACATTTTTGTAATTTACAAAAATTAAAGTCATACATATTGTTCACCAAGAGGACTATCAACTATTCAGAAAATGTAACCCCATAAAACACTTTTAATATAGTTTCATTCATATTTTTGAGTAGTACGTTTTGGACATAAATCACAGACTGTTATTGAAATGCTAACTGGCCTCTGCAGATACGATATAGCCTGCGGTCTGAGGAGATTCTTAGCCTACTGATTCATAGGGATCTCCGGCATTGGTCATGTTTGCAACTGGCATTTCCTCCAGCCTACGGCCTACTCTTTTGTGACAAGAACAAGCCCTCCTTATGTTTGTAGCTGAGCTCATCCGTCCATCTATCTATCTGTCTGCATCTCCCTCACTTCACCTCATCTTGTCTGTCCTTGCTCTTGCTGCTGGACTCTGACACATACAGCACAAGAGCGCTCAGACCCGGGGAGTCATGTTCTCATGACTGAACGTGATTGACTCTGAATGAGGCATTAAAAACTCTAACACACTCACAGTGAATGAGGAGCAGCTATAGATCACTGGGCAACAGCTTCCAAAACAATGAGTGGATTCAACATGCCTCTGGCGATGGCAGGCTGCCATCTGGTTAGATCTTTGATTCATAAAGTAGGACACTTGTTGAACTTCTCAGAGTGTTGTTTGTGACTAGTAGGTCCATAATTTGTGACAGATCACAGATCACAACAATGTCAACAAGTACAATAGACGCTGTATTCACCCTTCCAGTTGTTTTTCTGCAGAAGGAATGAACTAACACGTTTCAGAAAGAGTCAGCATTGGAGCAGATGTGATTGCACACAATCATTGAGTCCCATTTCAAAATAAAGTTCTCCAGTGTTAGGTGTTAATTTGATGTGACGTCCTGATTGCAGCAACACCTGTCAGTGGTGGGAAAAAATCCTCTCAGTACAGAGGTGCTGAGGAGATCTCCTGCCTCGACTGAAGAGCTTCAGGGAGTTTTTGCATCACACCTGCTTTTGCAGCAGCTCAGCTTCCTCTTATACAGCAGCTCTGGTGCGTGCACTCAGATGAGCAAAATCACAAAAAGTGACAGGCCACACTCATTTATCTGTGCTCCATCGTGCTTCATCCACTTTCATGTTCAGAGATTGCCTCCCTCGCTGGCTGTATTTCAGAGGCGTGGGTGAGCGTTTGAAGTGGGATGGAGACAGACACAGTTGGGATCCTGTCAGGAGCTTCTCTTTGGCCATTTAAAGGGTTGCACACTGGTAAATGGCCTCCAGATCTGACCTACGGAAAAACAGAAATAAAAGAAATTTAAACAAAAAGAAAAAAAATCTAAAGGTTGGAAAAATGTTACTTTATGGGTTTATCATAAAAATGCAACTGCCAGATAATGGCTAACATTAGTTTTATTACATTAACAAACCTAAAATGACTCCTACGTATTTGATAAGGTGCTGTAAAATTTACCAGACTTGTCTCCTTATGAGTGTTAAAACCAAAGCAAGGGCACAGATTCTGACAAGTGTTATTAGACGGACCTGCAGATATATCTGCGTAAAATGAAAATTTGCACCAAGGATATTTATTTTGAAGAATGGAAATCACTATTGTTCAAGGTTATTTATATGAGCTATAACTACTAGGGCTCAACTCTTGCTAAACAGCTGATTATGAAAGTTGGAATTTGCATTGTGATCAAACAAAAACTCATTTTGGTGTTGAGCTAGTGATCAGTGCTGTTAGAATTTATGTTTTTGACCATTCACGCAGTCATCTACTTTTGTTGTATTACCAAAGAGGAGACAACATTCAGTGTGTCAGTAACACTTTACAATAAGGGTCCTTTATTTAGTGCATTATTAAGCGTTAATAAACAAAGGGTCCCTTTATTAACTTTATTTAGTGCATTAATAAACATTAATAAAGAAAGGGTACCTTATTTTAGTGCATTATTAAGCGTTAATAAACAAAATGTCCCTTTATTAACTTTATTTGGTTATTATAAAGCGTCATTAACGAAATAGTTCCTTTATTAACTTTATTTAGTGCATTATTAAGCATTAATAAAGAAAGGGTACCTTTATTTTATGTATTATTAAGCGTTTATAAAGAAAGGGTAGCTTTATCAACATTGTTAGTGCATTATTATGTGTTAATAGAGTTTCTTTATTAACTTTACCATTATTGCTAACTTTTAAGTGTCCTTAAGGTTAGGACAATGGCTTAGTAATGCATTATATAATGTTAAGCCATTGTTAAAACTTCATAATTTATTTCTGATTATAATCAGTCACTCTGAGTTTTTCATGCAGGCTGAACATGGGAATAGTCTCCTACACCTATCTCCTGCATTAGCTTCTGACAGACAATAGACGGTAAAACTCTAAGATTTGAAAATCCTCACATATGATATTTTTGTCACAATTCATGACCTTGCCCATTTTGGCTCCTGCCGGCCTGCAGGAAGGCTTTTAAAAACATTTTTGCAGAAAGGAGTGAGAGCGGAGAGTGTCGGTGATGGTGACTTTAGTTTGCAACATGGCTGAATGCATTCTGTTAGCCAATCAGAAGCAAGGTGTGTGCATATCATTAATAATAGTGACTAATCCTGCTGTTTTCAGTCCACCTCTGCACCAGCAAACTTCTGCATCTCAGAAAAGAAGCATCAACGCCTTTTTATAATGACTTATAAGGCATTGGTTTACACTAGGGAACACTGCAAATGCATTGAACAAACAAACTTTAATTCTTAATAAAGCATCAATTGCATCAAATGCAACCAAAAAGGGACGCTTATTGTAAAGTGTTACCAGTGTGCCAGTAAATGTTTCCAACTCCTGAACAATTGAACTAATTTTGCTAATGCTATTGTTAGTTAGCTTGCTGGAAACAGCCTTACTAGAGTAAGGTGTGAAACTGTTCAACATGTAAATGGTTTGCAGGTCCTTGAAATATGAAGGGCAATATGACAACCTTCATTTCATTCACTGGTTCATCATGATTACAATCTTCCACATTTCCTGGCCTTGGGCAGCTAACGAGATGACGCGGAGTCCTCCTCACCACCGGGCTTTGGGGAAGGGAATTCATTCACTCCCTGGCAGCAAAGACTCCGATGTAACGTCATTCGCAGGTTTCAGTGATGGGTTCTGTGCTACAAGATAAAAACATAATGCTAAAGGGTCTGGGAAGGTTCCACCCAGATGTAGGCGTTTGCTAATATCGGTCTCTAACAGAGACACAAATTCTCTGCTCAGTCTGCAAAATAAAGTTATTTTATTTATTTATTTGTTTACTCAAAGGATAAGTTATCCCACCCACCCACCTACATTCCCCCTGTAAACCAAAGCTATGCACATTTAGAATGGCCTTCGTTGTGGCCATTCTCTTCTTCTTCTTCTTCTTCAATGAGGGAGGCAGGCTAGACGCCCATGAGGCGTATTGCTGCCACAGCCGCCCAAACACACCGCCAGAGAACGTCACAGCGTCTGATAAACCCCCGTCACATGCAGAAATCACATCAGGGCCCACACCCTACGCCGGTCCTCCACACCCAACAAGGTCCGCAGAGAAAACACTGACAGACCCGTAGCCCTCAACCTCCAAAAATAGGCCTCCCTCTCATGACCATACCGTCCACAGTGTTTGTAATAAATTTGTATTAACATGTTTCTCATCCATTTGCTTCCTTACAAAATGATGGTTTATAGGCAGATAAATAAAAGAAATGAAAAAATAATAAATCTGTAAAATTTTTGTAATTTTGAGTCACATTCCTGGTTCCTGGCAAGCAGGAAAAAACATATATATATATATATATATATATATATATATATATATATATATATATATATCTATATATATATATATATATATATACATATACATATATACCGACCCACAGCCACCCACCAAACAATGTAACCCATAGCACATGAAAGCCCCTACCCAAAACCCCACCACCCAACGATCTCATGGCCTCCCTGCCCATCGCTGAACAATACTCAGGAGAGCCCATGGCAACCTCCAGGTCCACAACAGTGCTAAATTATTGCTGTCTAATCAGTACCTTCATATGCCACACCTGTGAGGTGGAACGGATTATCTTGGCAAAGGTGAATTGTTCACTAACGCAGATTTACACAGATTTGTGAACAGTATTTGTGAACAATGAGTAGTTTGTGTATTTAGTTCAGGTCTTTGAGTCCAGCTCATGAAAACTGGGAGGAAAAACAAAAATGTTGCATTTATAATTTTGTTCAGTGAAATTGTTTAGCAAAAATCAAGTCCTTGTTATAACCTTGAAGAGTAGTGGTTCTCTAAATTATCTACCTTCGAATTAATTATTCTTAGTGCTAAATAAGCAATAACATAATACTTTCCAGTTTATGAATTTCATGCTAGCAAAGGCAGTCTTTTAACATTGATGTTTTTACATCACATTTTTCAAGTTGATAAGAAGTTTTTCCAAAGAATTCTGCTAATTATAGTTCTCAGAGATCATTTGGATTTGTTCAACATCGTTATCAGCAGATCAGACCAGCCAAGAATCAGGGATTGTTATTGGCTCTCATAACCAGAATCGGTGCATCTCTGGTGTCAAGTCAACAACAACAAAAAAATAAAATAAAAATAAAAAAATAGTGGAAAATCTCAAGTTGTTACAAACGTTTTGTAGGACCAAATATCTTTAGTCTTCCACAACTTCAAATGGTGTTTTTCTTTTTGGGACTCTGGTAGTTTGTCCTAAAGTTGAAGTGGTAGCAGCCAGCTGTTTCTTCTTGTCTGATATCATTGAGCGGAGGGCCTCTCACACCAGTAGTGTTCTGTTTTCAAATACACGAGTGTGTGATGAATTGAGGACCCAGGGAAGTGCAGAAGTGCAGCGGTTCAGTGAGGCTGAGACGGTCCAAAAGATGTTATTGGCAGAGATATTTAAACAAATGCAAGAAAACCACTTTATTAATTTTCCTCCACAGTTTATTAATAGCTGTACTACGTTAGAATGTTGTTAGGGGCCCTGAAAAAAAGGTTTTAAGCTTGTTTTCCAAATTTGTTACTTGTTTTTTCTTTGCCACATGTTGATTCCCATCTTCCTGTGCTCCTGGGTTTTTCTAAAGTTTATTTTAATTTTATCATCAAAGAAATTTCAATCAATCTCTCAGCTTCTGGGTCAGCAGTCTGTGTCTGATTTCGATTGGACATTTTTATGATTCCTGCCAAATTATTTGCATAATGCAAAAGAAATAATAGTGTAAAATGGATAAAATTCAATAAAATTGTTTTTTAACTTTTAACTCTAATGACTTAAGTTCAGCTGTCTGGTATTCAATTTTCCTATCAAGTAACATTTTACTTTTCTGTAAATATTCAAGGCGTTCATCACTGTTTTGAAGATTTCCCATTAATGAAGTCATTTCGTCTTCGATATTTTGAATTTATGGGAAACCACACATCCCACGGCTGAGCCGGTCATTTTGATGTAACATTTGTGCGGGTGAACGCTGGTTGCTGTGAAATGCTTGTAATAAACATGTCGGAGTCCCCAGGGTTCCTGATTCCTATATAAATTGATAAACTAACAGATAGATAGGTTGCCACCATGTCTTGAATAACTAAGCCTGTTGACGCTCCATCTGCAGTAATCGCTGAATAATTTCAGAAGATACACGGTGTGAACCAGTATTAGATACAAGTAAAGAAGCATTTCAAACAGTTTGAACCCTAAAACCTACAGCTTAGCTCCCATCATGTTGCGGAAAGCCAAATAACATTTAACCAAAATACCTCAGACAAAGGTTGAAGTCAGGCGTGTGAAACCCGAGGGCCACTGTCCTGCATGTGGATTCATCTGTTCAGCAACCCTTCAACCTCTGCAGAAGCCTGTTAATTACATGCTGATTCAAATCAGGTGTGTTGAGGGTTGAAACTAAAATGGGCTTGATGCGGCCCTCGATGGACCAGGGTTCCTCACCCCTGGTTTAAGCCAAAAAGCAGAAACATGTACCTATAGGGGGAAGCGTACGAAAGCACGTTGTGCATGAACGATGCTGTGTTGGTCTCTCAGTCACTTATCTTTGAGACAGGACGTTTCGATGGAGCAAGACTTCAATCAGGGGTGACAGCAGTTGAACTATTTTCTTTTGGACAGTATGAAAAAACCCACACCTACTAATGCAGAGACGGCAAGACCAGCACAGACGTATTTGGTCGCTCTTCCCAGGAAACTAGATGTTTGTGGCGCTGGACTGTCCTGTGCATTTCCAGTAACTTTACACAGTATT